CCCGTCATTTACGTCGGATCCTGAAGAATTTTTGTTTAGAAATTTTAAAATGAGGATTGTTAATACAATCACCACGACCAAAGTCAATTGCGGTTTTCAAAACTGTATTTACTTCGGTTTTCAAAGTAAGATCTGTTGATACTTGTTTATTTACTAAAGAACCAGTTTCGCTAATTTCTATGCTTAAAAACACTTTGAATCCGTTATGTTAATTTCAAATATAATGTAATACATCTAATATCCACCACAATCATTTCAGCTCTCCTAGCAAGTTCCAAAACTTTTAACGTACATTGATTAAACGTGGATAAAGTTTATATTGGATAATTTTTATATTATTTAACAATTTCCAACATAAGCACATTTAAAAAAAATAATAAATAACTGTCTTTGTAAAAAATACTTCCTTCGAAATAACAAAAATATCATAAATATTTGAAAATCGAAGAAATTTTATCTCACGGAAATGAGTAATAAAAAGTATAACAAAATATTGTTATTCCCAGATGTACCAATTTTATTTATTGAAAACCCTTGCAAATTATAATAATTAGAATAAAAACTCTTGTTAAACACAAAAATTTGATCTTCCTAATAACATGTGTTTTACAAGGGTGTAATAAAACAACACTTTGTTTAATAATACAATTAGACCACAAAGGCAAAACAATCTACCATCAGGTAGCTAGCCACGTGTCATTTTAACATGGGAACTCCGTCAATTGAAAAAAACATTTGTCGCAGGTAAATCACGAAATGACCTACAATATTATTTGTTAAATAAAAAAATTCAAATCTTAAACATGGGATATTTGGGTAATTAGAGCATTAATAATGCAGGTAACTTGTGCAGATGTTTTATATTTTGGGTTAAAAAAAACTATCTTCCTTGTCACTGAATGTAAGATTTAATTTTAACTATAGTGAACAAGTTTTAAACCATGGACATAAAGTACCTACACTATATATCACATAAAATAATATGTTAAGCGTTATAAAATATTTTTTATTATAAAAAACTAAAAAATATTCTATACTGATCATGTATTATTTCGAACACTAAACGCTTAACTTCGATGTATTGTTCTTATTTGCACGCGTTATAAAAACCTAACTCGACATAAGAAGCCTTTTGGAATATAATTGCATTTGCAATAATCGCCTAACTCGAGATGAGTTTAAACAACCAACAATAATTATTTTACACAAATCGCTTATGTCGAGTTAGTATTTAAAAAAATTCAAAATTAATTTTGCAATAAAAGCTTAACTCGAGATAAGCGGTTGTAAAAACTCATACAAATAAAAAAAAATGTCACTAATTTCGATTTGCAACAATAGCCTATCTCGAAATAAGTGGTTTGTCAAAAACATAAAAAAGATGTTTTCTGCTCTTAACTCGATTTAGGCGATTAGTGCAAGTGCACATAGTTGCCATTTCGAGTTAGGTCATGTGTGAATTCGACAATAACTCCGGCTACAACAGTCGTAGAACCACCAAATTTTGTGAGCATATGAAACTCAAAACGGAGAATTCGCTGGTTAACATATCTCATTTTTGTCTTAACTCGAGTTAGGCGGTTTGTGTTTGAGGCCACTGATTTGTGTAAACTTTCTCTCGTCAATCGAATAATAAAACAATAGATCCTTTGAAAGGAAAATAAAAAAAAAAAAAACCTTTTTGAGAAAAGTTAATTTATTTTAAAATAAATAATTTTTCTCAAAATACAAAAAAAAAAGCAAAAACATAAGTAATAAGAACAAGATAAGAAGAAAATGAAAAAAATATTTTGTTAATGAGATTTTTCAAAACAGAGTAGAAAAAAAAAACAGGAAAATTTTCAGGATATTTTTTTGTTTTTCCTTTTTTTTTTATTATTATTTTTTGAATTAATAAAATAAAAATTTTTTTAGAAACCGAAAATTTTTTTTTTCCTTTTTGAGATCATTTTCGTACATTTGGTGTAGTTTTTCTATTTTATAATCTTTTTTTTACAGTTAAGAACCAGAAAATAAACTTTTCGTTAATAAAATTTTATAAGTTTATAATGAAAAAAATTCAAAAGTTTTTCTCTTACATTTTTTTTTTGTTTTTAAATCTGAAAAGTATCAAAAAGAAATTTATATTTATAAAATGTAGTAGAGACCACCAAAAAATTAGTTTTTCATTTCTGATAGAAAAAGAAAAATGGTCCCACAATTTGACATAACTTTTATCAAATTACTGGTACGAGAATGTCTTTCAAAAAAACGAAAGATCAAGATGTCATTTAATTCATTGTCAAAAATGCGAAAACAAAATGGGAGAATCAATTTTAATTTTCAGGCAAAATGTTTGCTAATTTTAAGCAACACCAGGGATTGAAAATATTTAATTATTTATTCTATTACATATAGAATTTATAAGTATAATGGTTGGTATGCAAACAGCTGACTATAGTTTGAAAGCTATTTAATACAGATTTAAACATTATGATGAAATCCAGGTTTTTATATGAGAAATTTCGAAAAAGGACTTTGTAGCACTGCTTGATTTATGAATGTAATTATTGTAGCATTGATTTTTCAATATGAATCATACCTAAGAAAATTCTTGAAATAAAGTTGGAACAAACAAATGGTTTGTAATGTAGCACTTTTCCCCTCAACAAATGCAAATTCTGTTTTAAAAAACAATCTATGCGTATTTTCAACACTATTAAAATTACTATCATTTATATGTGAAGTTTTTAAAATTGCATATATTTAGGATGAGCAATCTTTTAAACAAAACAAAAAAAAATTAAAGAAATGTTAATATAATGCTTGAATTTAAGGATAACTCACATAGAGTTAAGAAAAATAATTATATTTATTAATGGCATGACATTTACTGTTACCTTTCTGTTATTATAGAAATTCGACAAGGCCTGCAGTTACAAATTTCCAGAGGTGATAACTTGAGGTGGAGTGAAATTTTCTGCTAACAAAATAAACTATTTATTGTTGTCTAATAGCTGCTACAATTTCACACTACTTCAAACTGCGTTCTATAGGAAAAACGGTAACAATAATTTGGAAAAAATGGATTTTAGATAACGATAAAAATATTAACAGCCATTTTGTTTTTTTGCAACAATAAGTCATTTTCAAGTAATAATAACCTTCCAAGTAAAAGCTGCATTGTAAAATTTTTATTTTATTTTATATTTAAAAATTTAATTTCGGCAAAGCAGTTTCAGTGACTAAGTTCTGTACTTTCCGTTTGAAAGAGTTGAAGTTAATTGACTAATTGATTACGTCCTGTTCCCAGTTAAAATGAATTTTTTAAAACATTATTCTAAAATTTAATATAGAAATTTTTATAAACGATAAAATCAATAAGTGAGGATAGAGTTGTCCTTGCCAACATTGTGATCCCAGTGGAAACGTTTGATTTATAATGATCACTAAAAAGAGTTTCTCGGTTTTGTTTCGGATTAATATTTTCCACTTCGAAGAAGTCCTTGACCCATGTGTTACAATTTTTTTTTTTTTAAATTTCGTTATTGCATAGCCAAAATATTTTTTTCGAATTTTTATTGAAGATTTTAAAGTTTATTAACACCATTCTTTTTATTCAAAAATCATTCTAAACACACTAATGTAAAAAATTTTCATTACAATATTTTGGTACAAAACTCAATTTTTTGGAAATTATTTCCATATTTTAAGGTCATTTACATGAAAATTTTCCAAAATTATAGCATCTCTTTAGTTCCTTTAGGTTAAACAATTCGACTCATTATCGTTAGTCTTTAATAACGAAATCTTTATTCTTTTCATACGTTTAAAGTTTCATGGTCCTTTACATGTAAAAATCTTAATTTTCTTTTGTTTTTCACTCTTACATTTTTTTTCACACAGAATTTTTTTTTTTGTTTTGTTAATTTGATTAAAATTTTATTTTTCAAAATTTCTTTCCTCACTTTCTGATTTTATTATTTTTTTATTTTGATTCCAAATTCGTTATTATTTTCAAGTCTTGTATCTCACTTTATGTTTCATGCCTCATTTGAAGTGATGACCGTGATGGCACAAAAATTTTATTTTAAATGACAAATGTAATTTTTTTCTCTTATTCCTCTTATTTTTCTTATTTTCTGTTTTTCCAATTCGTTTCGCAAGAGCTGTTCTTTTGGAAATGAGGAAATTGAAAACAGAAATAGTAATAAGAAGGTGTGAAAGAGAGAAAATAGAAGGAAGAAAAAAAAACATTATTAGTTTTTCATATCTGTTAAGTTTTTGGGACAGTTGTTCCTTTTCAAATTTCATAAAAAGTTCGAAATTTATTATCCTCATCATATCCAGATCAGATTTCTTTTTTGGATAAAAATTATAAAAAAAAAACTTGTCACAATTATGTAGTTTCCAACCTATCTAACTATACTTATATGGTATAACTATTTTTATGTAAAAATTCGAGATCCAAAGACCAAATTGTGTAAGAATTCAATTTTATTGGAAAGTTTGCATGAAAAGAGACTAAGGATTTATAAAGAAAATGAGCTCGAATGGTAACTGGCTAAAAGTTCAAGGAAAAAGCGCTCTCTTTATAGTTTCGAATATTATTGAATTTTATTGAATTTTTTTTTTTCAAGGACTGCACTATGAGAATTTTATTTGTAAAACATTTCAGATTGAAGAAATAACAATGACATTAAAGATTCCTTTGCCACTATAAAGATTACCTTTCAGTCATAAAATTCAAAAGGATTGTGTGTAACTAAGGTGACAAACATTGAATTTATAATGAATCACGCCGCAGATTTCAAAAATTTCAATATTTGTAATATTTACAAATACTCTGTAGTTGTTTTCTTGGGGCCTTTTGTCATTTAATTAGAGTATACCAACATTTTGGTTATATTTCGGTTCATACCTTAATCCGATTTGTTTGGAGAGATTCATAGTTAATTTACAGTCAATTATCTTAGTTTAATTTAAAAACAGAAGCTTTGCTTGTAATTATAAAAGTGAATTTAAACAAATGGTCTTGATAGACATGGTATTGATCTTGGACGATGTGGTGGTCTACATCTAGCTGACTCTCGATCAGGTTCAGCTACTGTATTTGAACGGTTAACTTTTGACAATTCAAATACAATGTCAACAGTATTTTAATGGTTAATACTGCCTTAATTAAAAAACTGTATGCAGGCTTTAAACAACTGCTTTGATACTACAGCAAATAACTTGGAATCAGTGATCCTTTTATTATGTTAAACAAGATAACTGATACCTAACTAATATGTAAATTGGCAATGAATTGTGACAAGAAAAATACGTTTTCGAAACCTTATTCAGAATTTATTCATTATTTTAAAACGTGCTGAGGGAAGTCTAATATTGCTACTCAAATTTTGTTTTAGGAATATTCCATAATTCTAAAAAACTTTCAATAAAAAAAGAAAAAAGTTAGATCCTAAATTTAATTAAATTGAAATTTGTTAAGTTTAATAGACACACCCAAACCAAGTTTTTTTAAAACTAATTTTTGAATTTTTAGTAGCCACTATCTTAGTAAGGCTTCAATTCCCAAAAATTCACAATTTGCATCAATTTATTTTATTACTTAAGTTCACTTAAGTCGTCTTATTATCATAAAAATATAGAATTTTGTCTGGAAACTTTAAAATAATTAGTTTCAATTACATGAGAAATTTCGCACGAGAAATTTTTTTAATGTCAACTTTTTGACAAGAATACCGAGTAATATTTGTTAAAAATATTCATAAGTTCAAATAAATTCAATTGAATTTCATTTATTTTCACAATTTAAAACGAAACCTTATTGAATACGTCGGGAGCCAAGGTAACAGTTATCAACAAACATTGAGTAAGGTAGAAAAAGATGATATTTTCAAAATGAATCAATGTAACTATTCAATATTTTCCGAATTGCAGTGAAATTCAAAATTGCTGTTGTTGCTCAAGAAGCAATATTATTTGTCATATTCGTTATTCAATGCCATCTACCTTCATTGTTGGGTTAGTCATTGTCAATTAATTTTTAACTTTACAATTTGAATTACAATAGACTTTCCTTGAAATATTTTTAAATAATGCACATTCTAAGCAAATTTTGAAAAGTGAATGAAAAGCCCCAGAAAAATTAATTTTCACAATGAAATTTTTAAGCGTTTTTGGAGTTTTGTGATACTTGCTACATGTTTTGCTGTACCTATTCCAAATACTGTTACTGAACCTGATACAGAATCCTTTGGACGTAGACCAAGGTCTCCACATTGTTCAAAACCAACACCACGTCAATCAAAACCAGTTGAAACTATCGCATACAGGATTATTAGAATGAATTTAAAAATACAGATGAAGTTAAAGAAAAAATGCATATTGAGATTTTTTTAATATTAATAAAGGTGTAAACCATAAGATTTGGGAAGGAATAACTACGATTTTACGTTTTTCTTGAAGGGGAGTCAAAGTTTGCAGTTTTGCTTGGAGGGGAGTCAAAGTGTATACAGCTAAGTAGGATTTTCCCAGAGTTGCTTTGGACGAGATCAATCAGTAAAATATCATCTTCATAAATTGGTTCGGTATGACACTCTTCTTTGTAGATTTTCTCGGCAGGATAAAAAGACAATCATACACATTTAGCGCAACTGTTCTGCCATCATAAGGAGGCGCACATGGCTCGAGCGGGGCTTCCTTAATATCATCTTCAATATTAAGGCTTACTCATTGAGCTCAATGAGTATTCATATCTCCAAGTATTTTCTTGAAACCGGGGTAATATAAGTGAGACAAGGTAGCGTGCCACATGTTTCTTCAAAACTTTACAATTAAAAAGTAACAGTAAACCAATATTAAAGTTTTAAATTTGCATTACACATTTCTCACATCATTATTATATCACATATAGTACGATATTGGTAAACATAAGTTGCACATGAGGGATACAAAGTGCATAGTTAAACAAAGTCTATATTATGTGTCTTGATAATCGTTGAGGTCGTTAACCAGTTATATTGTTCTACATAATTATTCATTTGATAACTTTCTCTTCTATGTTTTTGTTCTCTTCTCAACTTTTAAAGCTATAAACGCGTTATCACAAAGTTACTTCCGAATATTTTTTATTTAACCGGCAAATAAGTGTGTAATTCTTCGAAACACAAATAAAATTCACAAATTTTGCAAATTTTTTTTTTTGAGTAAAAAAACATTTTATTCTAAAGCTTAATTTTTCCCAGGAAGATTTTATTATTCTGTACATATTGTTTTATTAAAATAGTCTTGTTTTTGTAAATCTTTATTTGCATTCTTAAAAGCATAGCTTAAAATGATAAATAAAGTTGCTTTATTGACAAAGTGGAATTATAATTCACTATAAAAGCGTGTTGTGATTTCTTTTCACAATTCAGTTTATTTTCAAAAGTCGTTCATTTTTCCTTAAAACACGAATTTTGAATATTAAGAAGAGAAACCAATATGAAATTTTCAAGTATATTTGGAATTTTGATGGTACTTGCTATCGCATTTGCCTTTGCTATACCAAATGCAAATGCTGAGCCAATAAAGAGAAAACCAAGACCACCACATCGTCCAAGGCCAAGACCAAGACCGGTACCAAGACCAATTCCTCGACCTGGCAAATAATGAAAGCTATGAAAGAATTTTGTAAGCTGTGGACCAATAAAATTTCAAAGAAATTAAAATGGTTTTGTAACTATCGAAAATAATTAATTTAAAATTAAATAAAAGTAATTCATTTTCAGTTTAGTTATTAGAATTATAAATGATTAAACATTTCGAAATCAGTAAGTTTAAGAATCCAAAACAGCATTTGAACCAATCTTCAATTTAGTAAAATTGGAGAAGTTTTTTATTGTTTTTATACTCTAAATAAGTAAATAAATAAAAATTAATCTGATTTGACCAGTAGTCTGTCCAAAAACAACATTGAAAAAATTTACTAGAATTGTTTACATTGGATCGTAATAGAGTGGTATTTACTATGGTTTCCACGTTGATTGTTAATTTTTATTTGCTATGGTGCACTTGATTAAGTAGAAGCACATTTACTATTTATTTTAATTTTGACCGTAATTTGTAAATTTCAATGTAAATATTTTTGTTAACCCTGAACTTAACCCTGAACTTAACCCTACTAACCCTGAACTTAACTTAAGAAAGTTTGTATTAGAACAATAAAAGTTGTTGAATTTTTTAAAATATTCTTAAAACATGTAAAGTGTTAGTAAGGCAGAGCTTAAAGAACGTAAACTTACGCAAATTTCGAAAGTTTACGTTATGGTACTGCTTTTCTTGTAAAAACATAAAAAGTGTTCAGTTCATGTATATTTAAGTTGACACCAAGCGAATGAATTTCTTTCGCGTATTTTAACTATTTAATTTAGTTGAGGCATGCATTCTTATGAAAATTATTAGCATGAAAGAATCGAAAATACCTGGTAACACCCCCTTGAATGTTGTTATAGAGAAATATTAAAAAATTATAGAATGTTTACAATGAAAAATTGATTATTTTTACACAGTTTCCGAGAAATTTCTTATGAAGCAAATTTTTATTCAAAACCTTAAAAAATCTTCGTCTAGACACAACCCAAAAATTAGATGCCTTATGTTGATTTCGAGCTATAAATAGAATTTTTACTAGTACAATTTTTAAAAATAAAAACCAAATAAAAAAAACTTAATTTTCTAAGATAAGGCTAAGATGCCAATTATGCGTCGTCTGACAGTATTATTAAAAGTAAGAAGCTTTTCAGCGATACAAAACTAAAAGTATTGCTTAAGATGACCAAGTGGCAGTTTCTTACAACTTAATTATAAATATAAGAATGTATAAATTATATTATAAAACACAAACAAATTAATTCTTATTAATTACAATAAATTAATAAATAGTTTCCTAACTGCAATGACAAGCACGTTCGTATATATCTTGTATTTCAAATTCTTCAGCAAGTTTGGTATCTGCTATACAAAAGCTAACATTTGTAACAACACAAACCGGTTTCATTCCATCAAAATAAATTTTACGCCAGAAATTTATATTTCGTGACGTGAGAAATCTTAGAAATTCATCGAGGCAAGCACACTGCCATGGGTTTGCTTCAATTGCAACTTTTACAAGTTTCGGCCAACTATTATTAGTTATAGGTATGTAGGTAATTTTATTATGATCAAACAAAAATTCAGTTAATTGTGACAAATTTTCAATAAATACTGATGTCAATTCTTCAATGTGATTATGTCCAATATGTAGTTTTTTCAATTTTTTTAGTTTTAAACCCAAGTCTGAATCAATTCTTGTTAATTCATTTTGATGAAGTTTTAAATATTCTAAATTCGTTAAGGGTGAAAATATTTCAATATTTAAATTCGGTAAGTTATTGGTCGATATATTTAGAGTTCTTAAATTCAATAAGGACTCTCCGAATATAAGTGTTTCCAAAGAGTTTAAATTATTTGCAGCTATATCAAGTATTTCCAAATTTTGTAATGATGCAAATGTAAAATTTTGTATTGTTTCGATATCATTTTCTCCTAAAGAAAGACGCCTTAAATTATCTAAACCATCAAAAGTTGAACTACGTAGTTTACCAATTGAATTTTTCGATAAATCTAGTTTTCTCAAATTTTGTAATCCATTAAATGCTCCAGATTCAATATTTTCAATATTATTATTACTTAAATCCACAATATTTATTTTGGATTTATGTAGCCCTTTAAAAATATCAGTTCCTATTTTATGTAATTGATTAGATGATAAATCAAGAAATTTAAGCCGATTTAAATTTTTAAAAGTTTCCTCTTCAATTTCATTTAATTGATTATCAACAAGAAATATTGATTCGAGTTGAGGCATCTCGATAAACGTATCTGAAGTTAATTTAGTTAAGAGATTTTCATTGATGCTTAATAATTTCAGTTTTGGCACTTGACCGAAATCGATTTCCGTCAAAAGATTCAAATCCAAATTTAATATAAGTAAATTTCGTAAAGAGCTAAAGGTTCCTCTTTGAATACTTTTCAGATTATTCTGAGAAAAATCAATTTCCTTAATATTTTTTAGATTTTTTAAATTTGTTGATGTTAAATTGTTTAGAGTATTGTGAGAAAAATTTAAAACTTCAACTGAATTTCTTTCAGTAAACCATTCAGATTTCAAGTCATTTAATTTTCCATGTGAGATATTTAGAAATTTCAATGAATTCATGTTTCTAAATGCACCACTTTCTATATATAAATGTCCTATTTGAGAAAGATCAAAATATTCTATTGTCTGCAATATATTCGGCGGTGATCCAGCTAAAATATTAATAAAGTAAAAACTGTATAAGTACAAAAGTAAACAACAAAATTTATTTGCTTACTTACCGGCAACTTGTATTATTTTTTTGTGATTATTAATGATTGCGATATTAGACCAATTATCTCTTAATAAATTTGATAATTCATTGACAGATTCAATTTCATAACATTCCATTAATCGCATTTTATTACTATTCGTTATCAGTTTACATTCTTGTTCGAGATTAGTTTTACTTTTACTATGACACATAAACAAACCGATGTTTACTAGAAACAAGAAAATTTTTTCAAAAGTATTGCTAATCATTATCACTTCTAAATTCTAAAAAAATAGAAGACTTTCTTGTTCGACAGCTTCACTTTGACTAAAATCTTAAACTGCTCACTGAACAGAAAGAAGATAGTGAATTATAACATAAAAAGTTTGGGAGTGCAAAAATTCTCTCTGATTTGCGATTTATTTTTATTATTTTGTCATTTATATGCTTACGTACGTTTAAGTAATGATATTCCAAATATTTTTGCAAGATCAATACAGATAGTTTTACGAAAGGTAGTTTTAAAAGCTTGTTTGCTTTTAGAGACTTTTTGATACTAAAATAATTTTTTTGCTCTTCTCTCTAAGTGAAATTTACGTGATTTTAAGTATGAAAGACAAGATCCTGACTAAGTGATGCTTTGTTTAAATTGGCGTCAATCAAAGTAGTCGCTTACTATACCAATGGAGTTCTATATTGTGTTAGGATTAACATTAACTTACTTTGAATCAAGAACCTCTAAAAAAATTCCAAAAACTTTATATTAAAGTTCAGACCATTTTTGACAACTTAACGTAGAAATAACTTTTGAGGAAAAATCTGCCAAAGCTGGTACATAACTGCTTGAAAATATTTTTCTTTCTTCCATATTTTAATTTTATTTAACAAGAATTTATTTTACTCACAAACTTCAGTTCCGTTTTCGTTTTGTATGTCATAATTAATCGCTTTATTATTTCATATTAAATTTCTACATAAAAAGCTGCTATAAAAAGCTTTTTTCATAAACTGTTATACTTTTGAAAAATACTACGGTCAGACGAATAAACTTTGAAAATTTAAATTGGGTTTCATTTTCATTGTTACAGAACTTTTACGCAAAGCTTTTAAAAAGTAATTTGAAAAAGCTTTAAAGGTTGAATACAATAAAATATTAAATTTATGGTAATTTGTAAAAGTTAGAATTACGATAAACGGATTCAAAGAATATTTAAAATTTAAAATAGTAAAATGTTTGGTTTTTACTGTAGACTCTTGATGCAACAGAAATTTTGCAAACCTTTTAAATTAAAAATCATTCAAAAAATAGCAAAAATTGGCTGATGCAATGGTTCAAAAAAATTTTTTTTTTTGTTTCTTAAGATGTACTATAATCTGGAAGTAATTTATATCGTTGTTTATTAATGCATACATTTAACATACACCAGTATATATACACGTCTCATGCTAATGACATTTTACTACATTAGAAAACTGCCGCATTAAATGTCTAATTTGAGTTCAAAACAGCACAAGAGCCAATTTTACGCAGTAAAATGTCAAAATTTATATGAAATGAACATATTTTAAATGGGATTGCCTAGAATCAAGCGAAATTACTGCTTCGAATTTCACCGACGTCGTTCAAATAGCCTAAATTCTTGTTTTCAAGGAAAAATGCTTTTTGTTTTCATGCACAATACTGTTCAATTGATTTCGCCGTTCCGCTTTTTCTCTTAAATAACAGCGGGAATCATTGGTCCTTGTTACTCTTGGTCTTTAAAAGGTTATCGTATTTTTGATAGATTTTTAACTTAGTACTTAGTAAGCGAATAATACATTTTCAAATTCTTTTAATAGAGAATAAAGTTCTGCCATTTTTTAAACTTTTTCAATTTGTAAGAGATATATAGGTTATGTAAGCCCTAACTAGAAACTACCAAAGATAATTCTGAACTTGCAGAAACACTACAGTAGTTAATTTTTCAGTGTACATTTACTCCGAAATAATTCTAAGTTTCTTTACGTTAGGCTCAAAAATTTTCACTCCATATACCGAACAAAGTTCTCCTTCGTCAAATTTCAGTCAAATTTTCGCCTAATAATTTAAAATTGCAATGAAACAAGGTTAATTTAGGTTATCTTTTCAGTTTTTTCTTTATTTTTTGTAATTTTTTGCATTTTTATAGGTTTTACTTTCAGTTTTTTTTTCATTCCTTTTTTTTTTTGTTAATAATGATTTTTGTTTTTTTTTTTATATATAAATAAATTATTTTTATTGATTTTTATTATTTTATTGTATATGTGTATATAAATATATTTATGTATATATAGTTGTATAATTCTATTTAATTATTAATTTTTTATTATTATATTTTTAATTTATTATAGCAAGGAGCAGAGAATCAATGAGTTTTTTTTGCTTAGATCTTAAATTCTTTTTATTTTTTGTTAATCCTTACAGGATAACATAATAGCTTTGTTTTTGTAGTATGTGTTTTACATAAAATGTATTTTGTTTTTATTTTAATTTTTTGTTTTTAGTTTATAAATAGTACAATATATCTAAATATTTGTGAGTTTCATGTTTAATGCATTACTATCTAGCTATATTCAGTAACAAAGAGTTTTTATCAAAAGTATAATTTTGATTTATGAATAATAATTTAGAGGAATAATATTTTTTAAGAGGAAAAATTTCATTAAAATAATAATAGGAGAAAAAATTATTTAATTAAATTAAAATAGAAATGAGAATAAATTAAATTTGTTTCTGATATTTTAAGTTAAAATTATTTTTTTTTAAATATTTCGAAATTTTTTCTGCAAATCTCCTTCAACCCGTTTCAGTTTTTTAACAATTCATCTACTGACTTCAATGAAATATTGAAAATTGAATAAGTGTTTAAAATAATACCTAAGAAATCGATATTTTTACTGTTTGACCTATGTAGTCTCCAGAATATAGAATCAGTTTTCAATATTTTTTATTAGTTTATTAAAAGGTTTTTGCTTTCACATTGTACTTTTGATAAGACGATTGAAAAGGGCTAAAAAAGTTAAATTCGTTCCGGAACTTCTCAAAATGATACTCCATTTAATTGAAAATATTATGAGATTAAAGTATAAAATTAAAATTCATAAGGAATATGATAGAGATTTTAAAGAACTGAAATTAATAAAAACATTAATGCCCCCCTCAAAAAATGATGATAATTAAAAAATTATTTAAAAAATGGTTTGTATTATGTTTAATGGGAAAGTATTTTTTCGTCAAAGAATTAAAATGAGATTAGATTTTATAATGTGAATTTCAGATAGATATGTAATCCTCATGGCATAATTATAGAAATGTCAATTTTAATTTAATATTAAGTATATTTATTTGAATATTTAATTATTATTTTGAACCAGCAAAATTGTCTAAGTTACTATAATTAAATTACTAAATAGCAAAGTTAAGAATAGCAATCTCAAATTATTCAAAGGTATAATGAAACGCTACAAGCTCTTTAAATGGTTATAAGGACGGAATTAAATGCAGCAATAATCATTGTTATAATATTATATAAGCAGATATAATAATTATTATTATACGAGTACAACACCGAAATTCACAAACGACTAATTTTGTCTAAGAGAATTTTGTATACCATATAAGATATAAGGTGAGAGATTTTTAAGGTATACAATAAAGCATTTAGTTAATACAGTTTGCTATATTTTAATGGATAGCTACCAAAGTATTAAATATTCCTTGATCAAACCAGAATACAATTAATAGGTTATTAATCCATATTAGAGAGTTGAAATGTAGCAAAATTGGAAAATGATAATCCAGAGCCATAAATTATAATTATATATTGGGCTCTAGATGTGAACAAAATTCTATAATATTATACAAATTATGTTTTTATCTAATATTTTTTGTTCTTTTTAAACAATTGTAGGTTTCGAATTCCAAAATTCAATAAAGTATCGGAATATTTTTTTAACAGTTTTCCCTTCCTTTTAAAAATTTCTCTTTCTCATTATAGGCTGAATTAATATACACTCTAAACTAAATCAATCAAAATAATCCGAAATAATTGTGATTGTTTTCACACATAGTCCAACTTATTAGTAGTAAGTTCCAACTTAGTACTAAATTTCTCCTTTGTTCGACAATAGAAAACTGCACGTGCTGCCAAAATATGTTTGATAATTCGGTACTTCTTTTACGGTTTATTTTAAATTAAGGATTTTTAAGATGTTATACACGCAAAAACACTCAGTTTTGTTTTTACTGTTGTTTGATATTACTGTTACTCGTAATAATGAAATATTTAATTTTGTGTTTTCATTTTTGAAACATTAAAAAATTAGTTTTTGCAGCAGGGTCTTTTTGTTTTTTAAGTTATTATTAAGTTCTAAGTTAGATGCGAAACTATGTTTACGATGTTTACATGAGCCCCGATACACAGTTCCTAAAAATATTAAGGGCTTCTTGGTTTATTAATAACTTGTATATAAAAAAAAATAAAACAAGAGACAACAAAATTTTTCAAAACAAAAAAAAAATACTTTTAAAGAAAAAAAACAATAATTTTTTTTTTATTTTATATTTTATGACGTAATATGTTTAATTATGCATTTTTATTATATTATTTTTATTGTTTTTTTTTCTATTTTAAATTTTTGTATTTTAAAAAGGAACAAAATATTTTTTATAAATTAATTAATTTTTTTTTATAATTTCAATAATATTATTAATAAAATTAAATTTAAAAAAAAATGCTATTTATCTTAAATTTAAACAGGATATACACATACATTTTATTGTATACATTATAGCTAATGTATTAAAAAAAAAATTAAAAAAAAAATATTTAATAAAATAAAATTAAATTAAAAATTATTTTTCATAATTTTATTGTGCTACTATTTTAAGCCTCAATATTAGGCTTTCGAATTGTTTATTTATTTTTTTTTTGTTCATATTTTTTAAATATTTTTTTTTATACAAAAAACAAATATTTTTTTTTTTTAATTCTATATAGTTTAAATTGTATAAATAGGTAAATAATGTAAAAAAAAACAAAAATATTCATAATTAAATACAAAATAAATTTTAATAAAAATTTTCTTTAAATTGTAATTAAAAAAATTAACATTAATAATTAAAATATTTGTTTTATTTTTATTTAATTTTTGAGACAATTGCGATTTTATTGATATTTTTGAACAATATTCTAAATTACAGAAAAAAATTAACAAAATATTTGTTTGTATTTAGAAATCATGTATGTATTAATAAAAATTAAAAAAATAAATTAAATTATAACTGTTATACTTTAAAAAAAAATAATTAAATTAAATTAAAAAATTTTAATAAAAATTAAATTTGATTATTTTTTCTCATTAATTTTTCCAAATTATTTCTTATATTTTTCTTTTTAATAATTTAAAATTAATTATATAAATTATTTAATTATTTAATTTTTATATTTCCATTCTATCAATCAGTCCCTATTTTTAGCCTACCTATTATACTTTTAATTAATTATTCTTAGAATATTTTTTTTGTTATATTATTCTTTAATAATAATTATTAAATAGTTTTCTTCAGTTTCTGTTCATATATAGAATATTGCCATAGCGTTTCAATCATTTTTCTACAATATATTGTGTTTATGTATATATATATATATTTTTTTTTGAAATTTTGTTCTTTTATAAATAAATATATATTATGTAATGTGTATTTAATATAATTTATATATAGTTATATGACGTGTATTTGTATAACAATATCTTAGATATTTTTTTTTTGTTTTATATTATTCAGACTATTGTTGTAACTGATCCATTATTACTAGTAGTTTTATTTGTATTTGTTTTAGTTACAATTACATCAAAGCAATTATTATTATTATTATTATTATTATTATTAGTATTATTATTATTATTAATAAAATTATATTTAAGATTATTTAATTTTGAATTTCTTGCATTTCCATTATATTGATTATCTGAATTGAATTTCATTATACCATTACTATTACTGCTATTCTTATTTATTTTCATATTAATATCAATTTCATTATTATTAAAATTTCCACCATTTTGTAATAAATTTTTATTTAAAATTGTTGCATTATTACAATCAATTTGTATATTATTATTTATTGAATTTGATAGCATATTCGTTGAGTGTTGTTGTTGTTGTTTCTGCTGTTGTTGTTGCATTTGTGTTTGCTGTTGTTTTTGATATATTGATTGATTTTGTTCACATCTACCATTTTCTATACCACCGTTGTTACCATTTAATAAATAATTTTCTTTAATTTTGCCATTTTCTTCATTTTGATAACGTTTTGTGGAATCAATCATTTTATTATTTAATAAATTCTTTTTATTATTTTTATCAATTTGTGAAGAAATAATTGTTGTTGTTGTTTTTAAAATTGTTGGTGGTATTATAGGAGAATTATTTTTATCAATATTATTATTGCTATTATCATTATTTTTATCATTAATAATATTTTTAATATTATTATTATTGCTATTTATATAATTTATTGTTGAAATTGGTTCACCAATTAATGTTGTTTTAACTGGTTTATATATTAATTTCTCCCATGGTATTGATGCTCGTCTATAACTATTATTATTATGATTATTATTATTAATATTATTATTATTATTACCATTGATAATTGAATGATTATTATTATTATTATTATTATTATTTGTTGATGGTAACATTGTTGAATGATTATTTGATAAATTAGTAAATGTTGTTGATATAACTGTATGACGTCTTGATGTTGGATGATGATTATTATTTGAATTAAAAAAATTTATACCAGTAACAGATGGTGATATAATTTCAGTTGTAGTTGTTGTTGTTGATGATCCCGAATTTGGAATATTAATCGTATAACTTGTATATTCTGGTTTACTTCTAAAAAAACAAATAAAAAAAAATTTAAATATTAAAATTATGAAATAAAATATTATAATAAGGTTTTATTAATATTAATGGTACAAGCAAAAGCTTTTAATACTAAATAATTGGAATATAATACGAAAAATATACATGCAAAAAATTATTAATTTTAATACATTATTTTTATTTTTTTTTTTTTGAAGCAATTAAATAATAATTTATTGTAAGCCTCATGTAAACGCATTTTATGAAAATTTAATGTATTTCAAAAAAAAATTTTAATTAATATTCAAATTAATTATATAAAATATAATTATATATAAACATCAAAACTAAAATAATATAAAAATATTCATTTTGTAATAATATAAGAATTTACCTCATAATTCTTTATTTGGAAGCATGCAAAAGGTAGAATTATATTAAAAGTTACGTTATGAAATAGTGAGTATTTTTTTTTTATAATATTCTAATTATAATTATGTAGGCAATTTAACTACTATTTTTAATTTTATAATTAACATATTTTTAACTGCTTTTTGAAAATAACATAAAAAACCTTTAAATCTGCGTTTAATAATTGGCTTGTTATAGAATCTACATAATTTTTTCTGGTTTTATTAAAAAATTTCCTTATACAAAATTTTCAAATATTATAGGAATTTTGATTTTAATTAGGTACAATGAGACTGAAACATTATTATTTCTACTTCAATATTATATGGACTTCAATTTTGTTATTTGCATAAATAAGGCAATTACTGTAAAGATCTTTTGAAACAAATAATTTACAGAAAGTAGAATTTGTCACGCAATTATGAAATAAAAAATCTAGGAAAATACTTATAATTTTAAAAACTAATTGATATTTCGGGAAAACATCCATAAATATTGGACAAAAACAGTGTGATGACAAATTAAAAGTCCAATTTTAAAAAAATTTTTTGAATTAAATTTTTAATTTTATAAAATCAAAAATTTTACATAATTTTATGATTCTATTTAGGCTCTCGTTAAATTAATAATTAAAATAAACTTAATATTGTTAAAGAATTTTTTAGGCGTTAATAAATTTATTTAGAAATAGAAGTTTCACGCTCTAATTATGTAAACAAGTCTATTAAATATATATTATATAATTATTAAGGATAAAATCTTAAAGAAATTTAATGTACAATAAATAATTATTTCAAAAATATTTATATTATAAATTAGGCTTTCTTTTTTTTTTTCTATAGAAATAAAATAAAAATACATTTTATACAAAATTGAATATAATTATGCCAATTTGCAAAAACTGTTAAAAATTTTAATGGGGGTTTTTTGTGTCCTTGTATTTATTATAATTTTAGAGTTCTATTATAATTGTGATTTTGTTAATTTCAAAATCAAAAATAATATATATTTTGCATTCCCTTATGCTCAATTCAAATTCCCTCACAAAAATCTAATTGGTCGAAATAAAAAATTTCCGAATTCAAGAATTACAGAAGAACAAATTTTCGAATCCATTCCCAAAAATATTTCTAACATACTATGTACCATGTAAGATCAAGCAATTTTTATCAAAGTGAAAATCAAAATTGCTTACAAGTTTTGATTAATCAATTTGCCTTAGTTACTTAACATAAAAAATTCCAAAATTGATCAATTGTAGAAAAGATTCGAATGGTATAACACTATCACATTTTATGGAAATGCTGGCATATAGATGTACTAAATTGAATTTTTAAAATCTTAATTTAATACTAATGAAGCAAAGCTTTTTAATCAGTAATTGCATATTGCCATATATTCATAATTGTTATAGGTTTCTTTAATCATATTATTTTTAATATTATCACATCACACAAGATTACAATTAAAATTAAAACTTGTTTTTTTTTTTTTTAATTTATTAAATAATTTATACAAAAAAATATATTAGGTCGAAATTTTCTTTATACATTTAACTTGTATAAATATAATTTTAATTTATTAATAATAAACATTAAAATATAAATTTAATTTTAATATTTCGTTTTCAAAATCTAATTAATTAAAAATTTTATTAAATTTTAAAGGCACGAATTATAATTTGCATCATTAACCCATGAATATGTTATGTGTATTATACAAATTATGTTAATGGCACACAATAAAATAACTGCCAATATTAAATCACATAACAGTACCTGATCAAATTGAAGTCTACATATTTTCGATACATCAACAATTTCGATTATTTTTTTTTTGTTTTATTCGATTTAATTATATGTTTTTAATTTTTGTTTTATATTTGTAATTTTGAATTTATTTAAATAATTAATTCATTAGTACAAATTGCGATTACAATCAATTAAAATAAAAGAAAATTAAATTAAATGTTAATTAAAAGTGTTAATAATTAAAAATTTTTATTAATTATTTTTATTAAATACAAGATGAAAGAAGTAATTTACATACATACATACAATAATATTAATAACCAAATACCCATACATGAAAATCCACATTTTTTTTTTATATTTAAATAATTTAATTTTTCATTTTTGATTTTTTATTTTTGATTTTTTAATTGCAATCATGAAAAGAGCAGCATGAAAAGAATTTAAGAAAAGAAAAGAAAGAAAATTTGTTTGAATTAGATTAAGAAAAAAAATTATAAATTTATTTTTCATTTTTATTAAAAATTACATTAATTATAATTTATTAATTAAAACTATAAATAAAACAAAAATAATGTAGGTAAATGTGGTGTTTTAGAAATTTCTTTAAGTTTATACATGCAATCCCACACAAAGTAACTGTAGTAGATCAGCCGAATAACTGAATACGATAAATTGATTGTTTTGCTTCCATGATAATTAATTTTAATAATGATAAGTTACTACTTATGTAGTAATAGATACTTATATAGTAATATTAAGCTACTACATTATTAAAATTATTTTCATCCATATACGAATATATTTGAAAAATTGCATATATTTAGGATGAGCAATACATATTTAAAAATAAAACAAAAAAAAATTAAGCATTGACGTAATGCTCAAATTTAAGAGCTAATTGTGTGAATTAAGAAAGGAAATTATATTTTTTGATGGTTTGGCATCTTCTGCTAGCTTCCTACATTTATAGAAATTTGGAAAAGCTAGCAGTTTCGGAAATATCAGGTGCTAAAAATGCAAATTTTACGAATTTCCAGAGGCGATAACTTGAAAGGTCATGGAGGTAGAAAAAAATTTTCTTCCAACAAAATGAACTACTTAATTAGTATCTAAAAGTTGCTAAAATTCCTAACTCCTAAAATTTGCGGTCTAAAAGAAAAACTATATTAATAATTAGGAAAAAACGGATTTTAAATAACGGTGCATTTAAATAGGCACTTTGTTTTTCTAAAGTTTAAATATGGTATGCCATGGTAGAACAAGCCAGTCTTTATTTTGTTGCGTTTGCAAAATTTGAAAAATGCTTATGGTTTTGCTGCAATAAATAGTTGAAAAATGGAAGCTTTAGGGTTTTAGGGGAGAGCTAGGAGAAAATTTTCTTCTACGGAAATAAATTTCTAGTAAAGATTTATGCACATAAGAAATTTCAGTTTTCTATCTTCAGGGTTGTAGAAGTTTTGTACACATGTCCACGGACAGACGTCCGTCGTATAGAGTGAAACTAATAAGCACTTTTTTTCAAACATTTTTTTGAGAAAGTGTTAAAAATCAAAGTAATATAAAATTAAAAAATTTTAATTGCAAGAATTCTACTAAATACAATGTCTCTACTAAATTCAAATTAATTTTTACGGTATACCTACGAGTATGTAAAATTTATAGAAAGTTTTGTTCCTACTAGATAACTATGTTGTCAAAGCCGGGTGAGAAAGATATTTGGAATTCAACCCAATATTGTTACTCACAATAGACGTCTTTATATTCATTTATTTTAGTTGAACTAAAGAATTTTCATAGAATTAAATTAAAATTTTAATATTGAATATTAATATCATATAAGTATTCAAAAAATTCACTGAATATTTTAAAATTTCAACTCCTTTACATTTTAGAATACTTCCAATATATGCATGTTACTCAAATTCATAATTCAGTTAAAGTCACTGAACGATTCTATTACAAATAAAGTTTTCAGTTACTTTTCGGTGGAACCCATGTAATTCACTAACTATAAAAAATCTAAAACAATAATTCGTGTAAGTTACAAAACATAAAAACGGGAATATTAATAAAAAAAAAAAAAAATTTTCATTATGTTAGACGTAATCCAGCGCATATTAAATACAACATTAATATTTTTATTAATAATTTAATTAGCTCTGTGAAATAAAATGTTGATACTAAAAACTAACGTATATGATGATTTTTATTGAAAAGAACATTACTTTCACACAATTTTTCAAAGTTTTTATTACTTATTTTAAATAAATGACGTATGAAGAAGATATTAAAATTTTTTTATTTTCCCATGATGAAATCGTGTGATTTTGCAATGATTTTCAATCCTATAGCGCATATTCGCGGATTTTCTATTTTAAAAATTTTCTCACTGTATTTATTGTTAGCAAATTTATTTAAAGTCAAATAAAATGCAATTTAAATACATAATTAAAAATATATTTAATTCAATAATTGTCTTGTGAACTGCTATATCGGAGTTTTCTCGCGATTTGTTTTAGTTGTTACCAGGGTAATGTTTAACATGTCAAAATTGTTTCATGAACTAACAGATAATAATTGAGAAAGAAATAGTAAAATATTGTAAGCTTAAAGTTTTTTGAACTCAAAAATTCTAATGAAAAGTTACAAGCTAACGTAAATAAAATTAAATTTGTTTAAAATAGTTGAACTCGAAATATTTTAAGGTTATTAAAATTGATTTGAATGTAATTATAATTTTTATCAAAAGCAAATATTAAACGGGCTGACTGAATATCAAACACATTTCTTGTCGGCGACAATAATTATTGTGAGAATTCGTTTGCCTGCCAATCACACGTTCAAAAAATTATTTTTAAAAAATTTCGTGTGAATCGGAAATGCTTGACCGTAAATGGTAATGAAATTTGTTTTAAAATAGCAAAGAAACAACACTTACTTAATGGCTACGTACCTAACAAATATTTCACAGTAGCTAACTTATAAAATAATATTTACATTAAATCAAAAATTAATAAAATATTTGCAATATTTTTAAAATAATCTTCCTTGTATAAAATTAAATAAACTAAATATATTATTATAATAATACGGATTCGAATCAAAACGATTATTAATAATTAAATATCTCAAAGCTAAATTAATTCGATTTAATGAATTTAATATGAAAAAATTATTTCGATCACTTAATATAGACAAATTAATAAAATTTCTGCATTGATTTCGATTTAAATGAAAATTATTAGCGTTACTAATTATATACTCTTTATAATTATTTAATTTTATTTTAATAATATTACATTTCTCTGCAATAAAATTGTAAAGAAAATTAATTATATTTAAGAAAAAATCATAATAATTGAAATTAATAATATGTTTTAAAGCATAACAGCTATTATTACTGTTGCAGAGGTAATTATTATTATTTTTATTATTACAATCATTGCTATTATTACAATTATTACTGTTATTATGTACGATAGTGTTAGAGTTTGTAACATGATCTGTTAAAATAATATTACAGCTGGTATAATTTTGTAATGATTGCAATTTTTGAAAATTGTTTTGCATTATACGATAAAAAATATTTGGTAATGAATTTTTTACGATATTTCTTGAAAAATTATTAGAATTATTATTAATAAAATTTTGATATTTTAAATTGTAATTATAAATGTCATTCATTTTGAACCTTATTGTTTTTAATCGAAGAACGTTATTTAAAATGCCGGTTAGTTGTATAATTACATAGAAGATAAATTAAAATTGGTGGGTATATAAAAATTAAAATAAAAATAAATGGAAAGAAAAGAAAGAAAAAAAAAGAAATTATTTTTGTAAATAAGAAATTTTTTTTTGTATAACTAAAAAAAAATTTTTTTTGATTTTAAATAGAAAAAGGAAATTAAGTTCTAAATAAAAATGTAACAAAATTTTATACCTGCTTAGACCCTCCTGACCTATTGATAATGGACGAACCTGAAATTTATTAAAAAAAAATTTTTTTTGTATAATTATAAATAATTTTTTTTTTATTAATATTGAGATATTTTTGATCACTAATTTTGAATTACAGTTAAGACCGCACGATGAGAAGGTAAAATAAGGTACTAGGAAGCTTTGATATAAGCAAATTTAGAAAACATGTTGGTTGTAAAATTACTTCACATTAGCACAATGATCATATTTCCGGTCATTTGTGTAAAAGGTTCCCGTTTCACATGATAAGTATTTGAACCAAATTCTAAGTCTCTGAATTTTTCCGTTTTCAAACGAGATGGGAGAAACTGCCGCATATGAAAAGATTGATTTAGATACAGATTTCCGGACAAAAATTCATGTAGGTATTTTATCGGTTTAGAAATTATTTCTTCTTTTGGAGCACGCTTATAAATCGGTACAATAATTAAACATAGGATTATAGATTATAGATTGTTAACTATTGTGGCGCCCCCTCCATGGGTGCGAAGCGCGATCCTACAACACCCGTTCGATTTATACCGCCCTCGTACTCGGGCAACTTGTGTATAAATTTTTCCAGAGCTCCCACCGTCCCCTCTCCGATTTCTTTCTTAGTTCCCAATGAATAGTATGTGGTCCGATGCCGTAGAAGGGCTTCGGCTCTAGGAGAGATGTATTAGCTAAACATAGCATCAAAATTCGATCAAGTACCATAAAAAACAGTATTTATTTATTTTAAAGATTTTAAAACCAATTTATTAATTTTATGAATATGTATGTTAATATTATTAAAGATTACTGTCTTATACTTACTCTTTCTGTTTGTGTTGCTGTATTAACAACTTCTTTTTCTAAAGCTGAAGCATTTAAGGAAGGATTTGCAAATGATTCACGTGATTTTTCACTTTCATTTTCTAATTTTTCAATTAAATTCTTTTGAAAACGTATTGTTCTTTCACGATCATCAACTTGACTCTAAAGTAATTTTTTTTTTTTAATTTTTTGTGGAAGAAAGAAAAAACAAAAATTTTTTTTTTATTTAAAAAAATTTTTTTAATTTTAAAATATTTTATTAAATTAAATAATGGAGAATATTGTGTTATGTATGAGTAATAATTTTAAGTTAGAAACAGAATGGCATCCTATAAAGTCAACATTCTGTCAATAACTATTTTCTCAATATAATAATCTTCAAATTATAATATCAATTAAAATTTAATTCCAATTTCATATTCAATTAATGCAATTCTACAATATTATGTTATAAAAAATAATAATTTTAATTTATAATTGTTTTTGTTAATTGAATTTTTAAATTGAGAAAAATTTTAATCGATATCTTTTAAAATTTTTAATAAAACATCAACAATTCATAGGATTACAAACCTAAGATTATAGAACACTATTGTATATGTTTTTAAGAATTACAATGTAAAGGAAAAAAGCTATATAAAGGCTAAAACTTTTTATATTTAACTACAAAAAAAAAAGAATTATAAAACGTACAAAATTGGGAAAAAAAAATAAAGAAATTGTTGTAAACACCAATGGCAGCAAGTTTATAAACTCAATTGCCGAATTCTAATATTTGTAATTTAGATTATTTTTTGGTCGTACTAGATGACATCTGCAGTTTGAACACTTAAATTGAACAGCATTTATACACTAATTATACAGAGCGCAGTCTATATCTTGTTTACTTGACTTAATTTTTTCATTGAAATTGAAGATTTTCATCGGTTTCTCTAAAAATGCATCTCTTATTGTAAAAATAGGAGAACTTAAAAGCTCTACATACTATTTGATGCTTATGCTTTTAAAGTTTGATAATTGTTACTAACAATAGCAAAAATATTAATAACGTTTTTTGTATACTTCCATAAATTTGTATGGAATTTTAAGTTCCTATAAGTAATCATAATTATTTATGATTGAATTCTCAACATTTTTTTGAAAAATTTTAATAGTCGCAATCGAATATTATTTTTCTCGTGCAAGCAGTATGATGGGCCCCAAGGCAAGTTTCTACATATGCGGCACCTATAATTAACAGAAAAGAAAATCTTCAGGCTTCCCGTTGCAGTTTTACCTCATCAAACAGCCTTCGTTTTTCTTTCTTCAGAAAATTAATTAAATAGAATTTAATTCTTAATGTAGAACTATGGGTCAATATCAAAAAATTAATAAAATTATTTAAATAAACTTCACATTCTTTTCAATTTATACAGTCAAATTACCAAAAATTTTTTAAAATTTTTCAAAAATTTACAACAATTTCTTTAACTATATTTCATACTTTACTAAATCTAACTATATGTATGTATGTATGTATTTTTAACTAAAATGTTAAAATTAATAAATTGAAATTTTCTTCCATTCAAGAATTTGTAAATTATTTTATGATTTATATTAAGTGTTTATTTAATATAATAATGTAAAAATATCTGAAACAAGTAAAAAGTAGTTAAAAAAATAAAGTTCGTGTTTATATTTGGCATATTGTGTATTTATTAAATTCATAATAAAATGAAGATCATGTAGAGTTTTGTGTAAAAAATATGTAATTAGAGTAAAAATTGAAAAAAGAGAATATTTTTTTTAAAAAAATATTTAAATAAGCCATAGACAAAGATATTATAATTTAATATAATAATTTATTAGCGTTGTATCTACAACACAGTCATTGAATATTTAATAATATTGGTTATGGTATATTAGATACACTCACTACAACTATGTATGTTAATATATTATAATTTACAAATATTATTACATATTAATAGTCTAATTTACACAATATCAGTCATGCAGGTTTAGTAAAAAAAAAATCAAAAACATTAATTCAAAGAGGCTAGACAAAAAAAAAACTGTTTAAGGTATACAGAAATTAATTAAAAAAAAAATAAAAAAAAAAATAATTAAAATTAAAAATTATTGTTTTCTTTACTTATAGATACGTTCTATTTTTTTAGTTTTTAAAATCCAATCTTGAAATAAATAAAATAAAGAACATTAAAAAAATTTATTAAAGCTTTTCTTGTTTTTTTTTTTTTGAATTTTTAAAATGGAATGTCCTGAAAATTCAGAATTATTTTAACTTACTTCGAAATTTTACCATAATCGGCTTTTTTTTTCTTAAAAATAAGTTTGAATTTATTCAAAATTTATAACATATTATTAAATTAATTATGATTATTAATTGAATTTATATTAAATTTTTCTTTATACACCTATAAAATCGTTCAAATGAGGAGTTTATCGCAGCAAAGGGAATTTTGGGAAATTTTATTTTTATTACGCTGACAATACCAAATATGCTATGATTTTTATTTAACCCTCAAAAGGATATATTTTTGAAACAAAAACAGAAAACATGTGCCTAACATTAGGGATGTGGGAACACTAACTACTGGTTATTTCAATACTCGTTATTTCGAGGATCCGAAGTAACAGGTTTCTTATAGATCGAGAATACTTGTCACTCAACACTCGCACATAATCTTTTATATTGTCACATCCTGTACCTATTAATTAGTATTTTTTTTTAAATAGTTAATGGGAAAATCAGAATTTGACAGCTGATTCGTATTAGAATTGATTCATGTGTTGTTGTTATTGTATAGGTAAGGTTATTTAATTATTATTTTAAGTAAATTATAATATTGTATGTATGTATAAGAGAATTTACAAATTTTTCTTTACATTTAAATATTGTCTATTATTAATGGATGTAAATGCAAGTGTAAAATTAAATCATTTAGTTGAAATAGCGTTAATATTATAATCATGATTCAAAAAACGCATTACTAGATTTTGATAAAGAATTTCAATTTGCTCTTATTAAAGAAGTTCTGATATCTTGGTAGCCACATCGACTTAATTCAAAAAACTTAATCCCCGATCCTGTAATAGAAGCTAAAAAAATGGAACACAACAAATGGCACAATGTTTTAGAACCCCATTTTTTTTGGAGAAAGTCGAACGGCTTTACTTTTCAATTATTTTTTTTGGTCTTTACGGGAATCCAGGAATACGTTTTTTAAATCTTTTTAAATCGTGTCTGTCCGACTTATGGTTTTCAAGATACAATGCTTCATTACAGAGCCTTAAAAAAATTTTTGAGAGTACCAAGTAAAAAGTAACGGGTATTGATTAGTGAAATAACGAGTATTAATGAATACTGCAAAGTAACTGGATTGCACACCCCTACCTAGCAGGTATATTATGAAAAATAAAACATTTTCGCTGAATATAAAGCTAGAATATAAACATTACACTTAATATTGTCGTAAATTTTTCGGAACTGTATAGAAAGAAGCAAAATCAGCATAACTAATTTATGAAGAGAATAAATTGAAGAGAATAGTTGTTACAGAAACTAAATCCTTTACATCAATTCATTTAAATCCTAATAATCAATTAGAGAATTCTCTAGTGTTATTTTCAACCACTTCTATTTTTGAATTAGTTACTAATGATATTTGAATAAAATTTCTATTTAAAATGAAATTAAGTATACTTTTTGATATTTTTATTATTGACTATAAATTTTGGATGAAGATTTGATGAACTTAAAAACTAATTGTATTTTATGGTATATTTAAAAAAAATTATGCTATAATTACATCAGCTTTAAATCTGACATAATCGTCAAACTGACAAGCTACAAATATTTTAAGTATGTAGTAGTACAAAATACTTATACGGTTACTTAACATTGTATACCATTTTTTGTTTTCTATTTAAAGTTTTATAAACATTATTGTTATTAAAAATTCTCATTTCCTGTATATACTTTTATTAATTTCAATTATAAAAATTAATACAATAATAACAACTTCTTTGTACACCTATATAACCCTCTTATATCAAAATAGCTCGTGCTATTAATAACTTTATGAACAAATTAAATGAAAAAAATATTTTCAATTTAAACCACAAGTTGGTGTTGTGTATAAAAGTTGTAAGAAAAATAGCTTTAAAAGAAAAAAAATCTGATGTGGTCAGCACATAACCGACCGCATTGTGTATTTTCTAGTTAAATGAAAGTGTTACAGAATATTATAAAAATGTCTGTTAAATACTTCTTTCCAATTTTTAGGACATTAGTAAGCTTATAGTTAACATACTTAGAAAAATGTAAAATTGGCTCTTAGTAGAGTTTCGCTTTGTGCTACTCGAATTCCCTGAAATGCTCGCCAGTTAGTTTCGGTAACAACCAGAACTCAAATATCAAATTTCAAGAAATTCCATCAATTTGTTCTGTGGATATGGTGAAAAATGTAAAATCGGCCCGCAAATCAGTTCTCGAGCCCTGATCTTTCCAAAAAATTTATATGTTCATTGTTTTAATACGAGGAGTTCATATATTAAATTTCAATGAAATCGGTTGATTATTTCTCTTTATATACACAAAAGTGTATGTTTGGCCCGTAGTAAACGTCTAGTTGCCGATGCCTGATCTTTCCAAAAAACTTACATGTTCTTTGTTTTAATACGGGGAATTCTTATATTAAATTTCAATGAAATCGGTTGATTATTTCTCTTTTTATACACAAAAATGTATATTTGGCCCGTAGTAAACGCCCAGTTGCTGATGCCTGATTTCTTCCAAAAGTTAGGAATTTTTGCGTATGATAGAGCAAAGCTTATATATAAAATTTCAAGTAAATCGGTTGAATATTTTCTTCAAAATGTTCAAAAATGTAAAACAGGCCCGCTAAAAAGTGCAGTTCTCGAGGCCTGATATATACCAAAAGTTGATCGATCCGTGCCATGGTGGAAACAAACTTACATATAAAATTTCATCAAAATCGGTTCAGCCGAACTTGAGATACACGCGTGCACACACAGACCGACAGACCGACAGACCGACAGACCGACAGACGGACAGACCGACAGACCGACAGACCGACAGGTTGCTAAAAATAGTTTATTTACACGTTCCCACCGAAAACTCGATATGCAAAATTTGTTGCCATCACATAACCTACCTATTGTTTACACAATACGGTCGGTAAAAAATTTCAGTGAAATAATTTTGGTAAAAATTTTGTCAGCTCAAAATTTTAACTGACTGTAAATTTGTAATTTGTATATAATTTAATTTTGTATAAGCAGCTACGTTAAATAACAAGTGAAAGTGAGGTTAGAAAATTTTAAAATCTTCATAATTTTCTCTTAATCAAAATTTTAGGGTTTTATGAAAAGATTAGGAAAATTTTTTTGTATTTTAAATATGAAAGTAAATTTTTTTTCCTCTATTTTCATTTTCTTTACAAAAATCGTTATACGCAAAACGATACTAGCTAAAAAGAGGATGATATCTGGTACATAAAAAAGTCTTAATTGTACAAAAATTTTTCATTTCAATTTTCAAAAAAGAAGTCATTACCAGCACGCAATATCGTAAGCAGTGAATTAGAAAAAAAAAAAAATTATGAAAAATATCTCATTCTTCTATGATTACTCTGAGTCCATTCATATGACAAACTGATGCTTAAATATACTTGTACTTTGAAATGAAAACTAATTTGTCTTCGTTATTTTTTAGAAAAATAAAAAACTAGCAAACAAAATTTCTATTGTCTAACACTGATAGTTTAGTGATGAACACTTTCTTACTACCATGTATGGAAATTTTAATTCTTATAAAACCGTTGCCTATTAACAAATGTTATAGATGCCTACTAACAATGAGTGAGTGGTAAGTATGTAGTATATCTAGCAAGTAGAAGTATGTTTTCTATTATTCAATTCGAAATGGTGTAGTTTATTGAATGTTTTGCTAAAATTTTGATATCAAATAAATTTTTGTTTTTTTGTATTAACACATTCGAATTAAGACCATCTAACACAATTAGTGGGAGCAAATATATCTTCCCCAATCTATTTTTAATATTAAATAATTAAAACTAACACACTTAAGCGATAATCTTTCTAGGTTATGGATGTTGTTATAAAAATTCTAGTTGATTTCTAGATTGACAAAGCACAGAAAAATATTTACGAAGAGAAACTTCATAAATGTGGAATTTTCTTGCAAGTGTTATTCATATTAAGTTCACAATAAAAAATTACTGTCCTCCACCATGTCAAATTACTGCCTTTATTTACTGATAATTCTAGTTGCTATACTTGTTTGGTATCCCTACTTGCAATTGGACAAGATATTTTAAAAAAAAATGCTGATACGTACTTGTTTTGCAGAGAATGTCAACTTATGTGTATACCATACCATTACTGGCATTGAATACAATTACTCTCTCTTTTGAGAGTAAAAAAGTGGAATACGATTGACTTAAATATTAAATAATAGTACTTGCGCTTGTGTCATACATTCATATTTGCACATTTATCAAATTCTCTCAAGATAATATGCAATACAAAATTTACCCGAATGTGTTAACTCTCTTTTCGCTCTTCAAAATTCATTTTTATGGCTAAAAACAAAAAGTTATTGTTTTCGAAGCAAAAAACTAAAAATTTTGTTTTGCTTTTTTTTTTCAAAACGTAAAAATAAAATAATCAGAAAAAAAGTAAAGAAAATTTAATGTTATAATTAAAATTTTGTACAAAGAAAACAAAATTTACTAAGAGAAACGAACAAAACTATAACGTGCAAATACCTGAAGATAAACCACCTGTCTACGTAAATCCGCTAATTCTTGTATTGGATCATCTAATGATGTCAACGATTGTAAACTATTTCCAAAATGTTTTTCATTATCGCTACCACCGCTACTGCCGACAAAATACTGTTGTGCAAGTAAATCACTTTGATTGGAAGAAATACTGTTACCACTGCCACCATGATTATTTTTTGTTGATTGATGTTGTTGTTGCTGATTATTAGTTATTGCAGATTGTGCTGTTGTTGTTGTTGCTGCTCCTGTTGTACCATGTACTGGTGAGGCAAAGAATTGCCCATTGTTGACTTCAAATGGGTTGAGAGTATCGGTCTAATTTGATTTTTGTTTTTTTTTTTTTTTTTTTTTTTTGAGTTTTAATTTGTTTTTTAGATGCATGTATGATTAGTATACAAAATTGCAAAAATGTATTAAAAAAAACATCAAATATTAGGAAAAAATATTAAAGAAAAAAAAAACAATATATAAGAAAAAAAAATTAATTAGATTATTAAAAAAAAATATTTTTTAAAGCTTTATAAAATTTTATTGCATATTAATAAAAATATTAGTGACAAACAATTATTAATAATAATTAAAACATTTAACATAAAATATAAAGGAATGTGTAAAATTTTACAGGTGAACAAAAAAATAGCATTTTTAGCACTTGGAGTAATTAGAACATAAAAGTCTTGTAAGGAAACTTTAAATAAAGAAATTTTTACTCATTCATATTCGTACATCCACGAGAATTTTTCAGATCAGATATTTTAATCAGAAAGGCTTTGTATTTTTGGTCAAGAATGATTGGCAATAATAACGGCAAGCATGTATTCCAGACACAAATATATTTTTGTAAAAACACATTTTACAAATATATATGGTTGTCCCTAATATTTAACGCTAAGATGATTAGAGCCGGTAATGGAAATTATCCAACCGACAGATATGACGATAAGAAAGATTAAATTACGGACACACAATATAGAAAATCATAAAAATTCCATATTAAATATTATACTCTTATTGCAAGCGGTATTAACAATTTAAATTCGAAACGAAATTGGTTTTTACAAGCAAGTCATCAGCACCACCACACCACGAGCTTTACTTTCAAAAATTTTCTTATCTATGAATGACTTCATGAAAAACCTAAATTATTTATATCTTGTCTTTTCACCTTTTGATTTAAATGCATTGAAATGACCTCAATTCAAAATAACAAAAATTGACTCCCTTTACAAACCAAAGATTTTCATTTAAAATTCAATTTAATGTTTAAATTATACTTGTATAAAATAGACCAAATTGTGGATATAGCAGAGTACTGCTTAAGAATTACTATTTAGAATTTTAGATTTATCATTCAATTTAAATGCAAAATCAAATCAAACATGAAAATAAAATCTTAGTGTATTAAAGCTTTAACACGTATGTTGTTTATAACCCCTTTCAATGCAATAGTAAAAAAATGCTAATTGCATGAAATGGGTAAAAATCGTTTGATATTTTAATATATGAACGTTTATCATGAACATCACCCTATTCTTGCACAGTTAACTTAAATGTACTATAAGGCTATATTACAGACCTAACGTTTTTATATCTATGTTATGGATGTACACACACTATATATGTATAAGTATACGTATAAAGTAAATAGAAGACGCCGAAGTAGACAAAATTTTTTCGTATCAAGATTTAGATATTTAAATTAAGTTGCGGAAGTAAGTGGAATACCCATTTACATACATATATGTTTGTCTGTGCTAGAGGTTTGCATATAAATAAGTAATTAATGCATTCGATTACCCTGCTATAATGTTAGCCATATACAAAGGTGAAAGAAAACTTGTCTTAAACGGAAATACGCGCCAAAAAAAGATTTAGAAAAAAAAGTGTTTATCATTGTAAAACTTTGTGATTCAAATTAAATCTTTAGGAAATCTCATATTTAATTCGAGTTTTTTAAGTCTATTCACTTCCGAATATAAGATTGTAATAAAAATATTAAAAATTGGATATTTGTTGTGTAATTTTACGCAGAGGAGAGCGCAAGATAAGCCCACGTATATGTAAAATTTAGGTATAACAAAGAGACATACAGTGGTTGCAATAATACGGCACGGACGAGACAGAACCCTGAATGCAGACGCTTCCAAGAAACACAGCATGCTGTCGTGTATACTTTTTTTGACCGTAACCGAGAAGAAACTTGAAGCCACAATACCAGAAAGGGAGGCCAAAAATTAAAGAAGAAGACAAATTTTTATGTTGATATATTCAGAATGTCATGACTCGAACTGAATTAATATTATGTGCAGCGGTTTCGTATTAGATTCATCACGCGTGGTTTATTGAATACCAGTATCAAGAGAATTGCAAGTAACCACGCACCGTTTTTCATATTTAGCCATAAAAATATTAGCCATTAACAAAATCCGAAATAGTTTTGCCATATTTTCTATAGGGTAAAATTAAAATGAATAAGTATAGTACTGTTATACGAGAGTAATGGGTTCAAGGGAAAATCTTTAGATGCCGAAATTACCTTAAAAGATTTGTGTTCAATAGCAAATTTTATAGTCCTTTAATCTATCCTATCATTTACTTATAAAAATCTTAATTTTATTTTATCCTGATGTTAGAAAATTTCAAAATTATAACTAGGTTGTGTTAGAAAATCTTTTTATATAAAAGTATGTAACACCTACCCTCTGCAAACATTCTTCGTCCTTTTTTTTCGGTTAATAATTTTGAATTTTTATTACAAAAATTTTTTGTTTTTTTTTTTGATACAGTTATTAAATATGTACACACACATTTATACATATTTTTGTTTTTTGATAAGCGGTATATGTGCGATATTTCAGTAGAATGATTTTCATATACATAGTGTTTATGTGGTAGTAAAACATAAATTTGAATTATAAAAACATAATTTTCAACATAAAATGAACATGCGGCAACATAAAAATGAAAATAAAATATAAAAAAATAAATTTAATAATAATTATAAAAAAAAAAAAAATAAATATTAATTACAAAAGAAATAAAAATGAATTAATTTTTAATTATAATCACCTCCTGCAGAATTCTTCTTAATCTTAATAATTGTTTTTTAAAATATAGAACATCCTGGATCATAGAATTCCTAAATGATTTATCATAAAGTAATAGATCATCAGATGAGCTATTTATTTCACGATTGCTTAAATGTAATGATGATGTTCTACTGGACGATGTATTTTTACGATTTAAATTAAAGCTATCATTTGATTTTGGACTATCTGATCCAGCTGTACTACCAAGTTGTGTTTGCTGTTGGAGACGTGAACGATTTAATAAACGTGTTGCACGAGCCGGTAAATGTGAGCTGAAAAACAAAATTTAAAAAAAAAAAGTTATTAATTAATTCAATTAAAACTCAAAATAGATGAAAATTTTCAGTAGCCTTAAAATATTAAAAAAAACATTTTAGAGTAAGCGATAGCTATAGTCAAAATACTAGACAGTGCTAAAATATTTTAACATTTTCGAAAAATGTATAAGAAATGCACAAAATTTATCTACATAATTTCATTTTTGAAAACAAATGAATAGTTGTTAACAAAACTCAACGCTTTTAGCGGTGCATACCACCGGTCTGGAATTATTAAGTAACATTGTCCAGTTTTATTATATTTTAGTTTATAAAGGGAAAAATATGTGAGTGTATTACAATTTCAAATAACTTTCAATGAAGAGCGTTGTGATAAATTAGAACCATTCGGCATGAATGTGAACAAATCAAGCCCTTAAATATCAGTTAAATTTTGGCTTTTATATTCAATTTCTAATACTGAGGACAATAAGGAGAAATAGTATACCATTTTGTTAATAATAATACCACACAACACTTTTGTCGCCTCCAATCAATATTCTTCTAACAAATATAACATAAATAGTTATCTAAACGTAAACGCCCATATAGAATTTTTAGAATCCGCAAAATGATTTGGTGTTTCCCTGAAATATTTAGAATAAGTTGACTTCAATTTTGTTAATAATGTTACGTTACTAGCCTTAGCATTACAAAACTATTCTTCTTATAGTTTCTTGAAAAAAGACTTTTCCGATATTAATTAAATTAGACCTCTTTGCTCAAAGCAACCATGAGTTTCCGGAAAATTTCGCTTTTAAGTGTTATGTATCCTCCCATTTACACTGATTTTACTATTATAAATCAGTTCCAATCTATATATCACCTTCTTGTTATGGAAATTTAAATTTAGCACCTCTAAATTTCACGGCATCCAAAAAATTTCAATATCAATAATTTATAATTTTTTAAATTGAAATTTAAAAATGTTGGCCGACACATAATTAACTAAATGGCATGCAATTTATTTTCTTTTTTTACATAATGAAGCCATTAAACGCAATATTTTCCTTTTGAGTTCTATTATCCATATTGTTGGAGGTCTACTGAATTAATATTACGAAAGAAAAAAAACGAATATTTTTTTATCCTTTTAATGTCCTTGTATACGGTATAATCAGTATAGTTTAACAAAATTTCAATATATATAAAGGATATTTGTTATATTTTGTTATTTTTTTTTTCTTCTCTAATGAAAATCCATAATATTATCGAAAAGACGCACCCTTTTTATGGACAGATGAAAATATGTAAAAATGTAAAAGTGTCCTCAATTTTAAAAACTACATTAAGTTTTGCTTCTTATGTATGGATAGAGGTACGACATTTAGTTTAATTTCGTTCTATATTAAGGATATCATAAAATGTGGTAAGAACAAATTTACTTCAACATCGTTTTATACTTCCGATTATATAGATCTTAGACTACAAGCTATGTTGTAGCCACAAATTTGCTATATATGGGATACGCACCAACATTCCAATTTAAAATTACCACAAATTTATATACAACAAAAGGCTTATTAAGAATATAAACAGAACAATTGAAATACAAGGAAGGACCAGATCCTAGTTTAAAATTAAATTTTTAATTGTAATTTTACTTGGCTTTTACATTTGTATACTTTTGTTCTTCGTATTTTTAAACCAAAATGAAAGTGAAATTTTCAAGGTTTCTCCTTTTCCATTATATACGAGTGTATTAGTCTGTATATGTGTTATACAGCATTTTCCTTTACAATTTTATAATTACCAATTTTAAAAATAATATACAATTATTTTTATGTTCAGTCCCATGATGCCACTTTTAGTATGACCGTCAAAATTCATATTGTTATCATTTTCATTTGGTATGCAGTTACGGTACAAGTACCTACATTTTATACACATAATATGGTTTTTGTTTTTATTACCTTAATGGGGATGGAGCAGGTGGACAACTAGATGAATAAATATATTGATGTTGATTTTGATGATGAAAATTTTGTTGATGTTGTTGTTGTTGATGATGATTTTGATGTTGCTGTTGTTGTTTTTGATATTGTTGAAATCTTGTACCATAATAATTACGTTGTTGTTGTTGATAATTTTGATAATTGTTAATATTATTGTTATTGTAATTATTATTACTGCTATTGCTATTACTATTATTATTGTTATAATTATATGATGTATTTGAAAATCTTCTGGGGCTGATACGTCTTAAACTATTTGGTGGTGATAAAGTTCTCGGACTATTATTTGTGGATAATAAATAGAAATTTTCTGATGTATGTAAATCAGTACGAACACGTCTAGCACCAATATCGACTGGGGCCGTCATTTTATGTTATTTTAATTTTTTTTGTTTTATTATTATGACATTATGGAATTTATAATTTTATAAGATGTCAGGATTTATTTAATGATTAGTCAGAGTTTAGTGATTTTCAATACACTTAAAATTTTTCACTGTTTTCACTTTTTGTTATAAAAAATAATTAAAGTCCCGATTTTAATTTTATTTTAAAAAATATTGTTAGTAACTGTAAAATTACACGTCTTAAAGAATGTTTGCTTTTTTTTCAGTGTAAAAGATTTTTTTTTTCAGTAATTTTTTTATTGCAAAAATATATTGATTAACTGGTCCCGTAGGCACTGATATGAAAAAGGATTTGAAGTTTTTCGTATTAAAAATGAAATGAAAAAAAAAATTTTTTTCTATTCGTCAAAATTTTTTTCCGATTTTTCTGCCACAATATGAGTTTTTTTTTTTATTTTGTAATTTTTTTAAATGGAATGACAGAAATAAAATTTACGAAAGAGAGGAATAAAAAAAATTTTTATAAAATTTGAAAATTTTTTCTTGATTTTTCCGATTTTTTTTTTTTTTGCTTTTTGCGAAATTTAATTTTATTTTTAATATTCCGTTTTGTTGTTTTGCCTTTGATTTTGTCGGTATTTTTGTTGTTTTTAGTTTTTATCGTAGGTTTTAGAATGACACAATTCGCGCAATCGTATTAAAAGAGAATGAAAAAAAAGAAAGAAAAACTTCATGCATCCTTGTTTTTCTTCTTCATTTGTTTTTTTCTCTTCTTTTAATTCTCATTCCCTCTATATTTTATATTATTTGTTATACTATAGTTGGCGACAGGGCAATTAAGTAACATAATAAAGATGAACAATAATAATTTTTTGATACCGGTATTTTCTAGGTCATTTTTATAAAAATGATAAAAAGGCGTATTGTTATTTTCGAAAAAGCTTAAATAGAAAAATAAAGTTGTTATGTTTGTGACAAAATCTTGAGGATGTTAGAATCTACTAAAATGATAACATTTTGAGTCGGAAATAAGTTTCTTCATTTAAAAATTCAACATTGTTTTGGTTTCATATTGGCATCCATTTTGGGTCCATAAGTTTATGCATAATATCGGCTGATTTTCTCGTTACAATCGTAAATCTCATAATTAATGTGTAATCAATTTAATATTTGTAAATTTGACACATTTTTAATTTAGTATGAAGAATAATATAGAAGAAAATTCTATAAGAAGAGTTGCATACTCAATGTGTGGTGTCGTCAATATAATAAGATATTGTTCTTAGTTGTAAAATTTATGGTAACTGCATTCAAATAAAAGCAAATAATTGAACCAAGTGAATTTCAAATATCTTGCCTATTCTGTTACCACCTTTATAAATTACGTATATTCCATTAGCATTTAATTTTAAAAAAGCGTTAATTTCCCGCTATCATAAAATTTTGTTTAAAATATAAAACTTTTCTCTTCTTTCTTATACAATTTTTGCTATATACGTATCAGAGGATTGAATAATTCTGTCTAATTTCTTAAATGACAGAAGTTGTTCAGAACCCAACTAATCCAATTAAATGCTCCTTGTTTGTTCTTTTTAAAATTATTTACTTCCAGTAATTTATATCAAAATTTTGTAAATCATCCTGTATCATTCAATTACGTATACATAAATTATATTTCCTGTTTTCCTTTTTTATTCTGTACAGGTACCTTATTATACCTTATTTTATTGAATTATTGTTTAAATATATACAAGTACTTTATTAACAGTTTCTGTATAGATATACATACATAAGTATATTTTATAATCATATTCAATTATTGTATCCATATTTTAAAGCAGCTGATTAAATACGAGTATATCGGTAGCCAGCCAGTTCTATTCTTTCTCCATATGTGTAATTTTTCTATTCTTCAAAAATATTATAACATTTAAATTTTCTATTCCAATTTTTTTATTTAAACAATAATTGTATGCATTTATTTACCATATATGTGATATGTATGTACATAATATATCTGCATATTTATTCTTTATTGTTATACATATCTGTACTTATTCACAAATATTATACACATATATAAATGCAGTTGCTTGTTATGTTAAAATAAAATATTGTATGCATAAAATTATTATATTTTTCTTTAAAGGTAATACAACAATCCGAACACCGATTTTATTTGAATGTCCTCATTAAATTTGAAAATGGTATAACAGTTAACGATTTAAAAGTATAATACTTGTTATATTAGCTATATATATATAAAATATAAATAAATAAGTATATTGGCAAAGACATTGTTTTGCTGTTGTTTTTCTTTTATAATAAAAATACACAATAAAGTTCTAAACTTCAGATTATCGCACTATATGTGTATATACATATAGATATGGTTTATGTTAGTTATATCGTTCAGAAATAAGACTAATTTGACATATCCTTCACATTTTGTGCCAGAAACATGTTGCTATATATATGTATGCGTAAAAACAGAATTATTTATAACTTTATGTCTAGTATATAATATTATAATAGTGTTGTTAATTCAATAAATGTGGATAGTTCGAACAGGGATGAAATGGGGTAAAATGGGGTAAATATATAATGAATAAAAACGGAGATCTATATATAGAACCCTATAGGGATTTTTTTT